GGGGCCCGCGGGCGGGCGGGGCCCTCGCCCCGGGGCCGTTACCCCTTGCGGGGCCCCGAGCAGCCCGTGCTGCGGTCCCGGCGCCGTGCGGGGCTCGGCTGCGGACACGGGCCGGAGGGCTGAGGGCAGGTGCATTTCCTGCTTGCTTCTGGCGCCAGGCGGTGGGATGCGGGGATACCTCCCTCCTCGCCTCGCCGGAGGGATTGGCTCTGGTCCGGCCCCGCTTCTCGCCGGCCGTGCCCCTTCCCCTCAGCCGTGCAGACCAGGCTTAGGCCCGACTAACTGCAGGACACCTCAGGCCCTAGGACAGGGCAGGCTGTGTTGGCTTCTCTTCTGTCACTATGAATTGGTCCTTGCTAACATCTTCCAGTAAGAGCTGCTGCTCCAGGCTGGGCAGTGTCTTCATCCTCTAACTTACTTGTGGCTTGGGGTGTCTCAATTTTGTTTCCCCTTTGGTACCGTAGCTACATAGGGATTGCACACGAGTTTAACTTCCCTGGAGAAAACGGGTTGTCTCCCCCTATGACTGAATTCGCTCTTCAGGCATTTATGTGGTAAAACTTGAAAAATAGTTAGCATCTTCCTAGGAAAAAGTGTTTAGAAACGATGTTTAAAAGGAGCAGTAGTAAGGTTTTAGTGTATGCAAAGCTGTTACCTGTCTTAGAGTCTTTTCTGTCATACAGTGTCAGAAGTCTGCTCGAAATACCTTTGAATGCAGCAGTTACTTGTTGCCTTTCTCTGGTTCTTGCTCAACTTATTCTCTTGGTTATTGTCAATGCCATGAAGGGAACAGGGAAGACATCAGTGCTTTCTAGTGACTTAAGCCCTCAGCATTTACCATTTTTGGAACACAGCTTTGGGGTGAAATCCTGACTGGAAGTGTTCTGTACTGTATTTTGTAGTCAAGCCTTTAAGTCAGATGAGAAGATTCAGTAAATGTTTTTTTCTGTCCTCTCAGCTGCTGACGACTTTTTATATGCAAAAAAGTGAAGGTCTTATCAGTGCTGTTCTTTTTTAGGATATAGTTTTTGGGGTAGGTCGTGGGTTTTTCCTGCAAGACAGAATGGATATTGTTGGTAAATCAGCTGTAACAAGGTAATGATTGCATTGGATCAAGAGTGTGGGAGTGTTTATATTCTTGCCACATTGGATACCTCTCTGAAATAAAAACAAGCAGAATTTTACTGTATTCCCCAAAATTTCTGTGGCTTAAGAAGATGACATGCATGAAAATCTTCTAGCTTTTTGGAAGCAGTGTTGGTCAAAAGGCAGAGAGTTTCACTTCTGCTTCTTCCACCAAAAAGGGTGAATAACTTTGTGTCACATAGCTTATTAACATCTTATTCCTTCAAGATAAGAATTACAGTAGATCTCAGGGAAAAAAAAAAGCTCTTTCCATCTGATTTACACTTTTGAGTGTTGTTTCTTTTTTTTTTCTTTTAAGTAGGACTTCTATATAACCACCATTGTAAAGTATTCAGTGCAAGAAATAGATGGCTAATTAGGCTATTGTCTGTAGGACACTTGTTTTATTCACTGTGGAAATTAGCAAAGTATGTCATAAATGAGGTACAGGTCTAGTAAGAAGAAAATGGTCTTCTGGTGCTGGTAGTGAACCGTAGTCTGGGGATTGTGTACTGAAACTAAATGTTTCGCAGAATTTCTCTGTGATGTAAAATAAGTCACTTGGCTTCCATTAGTGATGGCTAATTGTTTGTGCTTCATTTTTCAGGTGTTCAGCTTGAAACAAGGGCCTGATTTGTGGAACTGGTGGGCAGTTAAAGCTCCATCTGAAGCTAATGAGAATGGCAGATGCCCTAATACCACTGACAAAATCAGGCCCTAGGCCTGATTTGAACTAGGTACTTAGAAAATAGGGGACCCTGTAAACTTGTCATATTTCTGTGCTTCAGGTTTCTAGCTGTGAAGGTTTGTAATTCTTTTTAACTTATCCCATTTCCTCCTGAAACAACACCAAGACATTGATTTTTATTTATTTTTTTAAGAAGTTTGAGACACGTAAGTAGCCCTCTGGAAAGTGCAGTGAGCTGCAAGGACACAGAATGTCCTGTTTTCAGGACAGGAACTGGAAGGTGTGCAGTAAATTAGAACTGGAAGTTTACACTGAGGAGAACAAACAAAATTACCGCTTCACTAGCTCATGGTCATATTTCAGATAAATTAAGCAGGGGTCCACCTAGAAAAAACCCACAGTAAATCCTTAGATAATTAAAAATGTGTCATAGCATATACCCAAGAGAAGGAAATTGTTAAGGTTTTGTAAGCTCCTCTTATTTCTAACGCCAGTTCTTATTTTACAGTCATAATGAGTTGGGCTTTTATGGTGATAGGACAATGTGGTGCAGCCCTCATTCTCCCTCTGCTCACTTATTTTCTCTTTGGGGTACGTATTGGAACGTAGATTGCAGCCATTTTGTCACTGGAGTCACGGATGCTTTGTGGGTTGTATCTTTAGTATCACTTTGGGAACAATTGCCCACCATTTCACAAATTATGTTCCATCAGTGGAAAAAGCAATAGGAACCTGGGAACCGTAGTGCTGAATCTTTTACTGATGGGAGCTTCCTCCTCCTAATGTTATAGCGGACAGAGAGAAGGTTTTAACTATTGTCTCTAAAACAATACTATGTGTGGTTTGGTTTTGGTGGCATTTACATTCAAAGTGCATTCAGCACTAGTTCAGTCATCAGTGGAGTTTAGTTTTGCTCAACAAAGCTTCTGAAATTTGATGATTGCAGCAGTGCTATTTTAAGGCTTTACTGTTAAGAGGTCTAAGATCAGTGTTTATTTAATGATACTTAGCTAATGACTTCATAGTAGCAGTGTTCATGTTGACGTCATTGCTAGAAAATTGTTTTCCAATTCAGCTGTTCAAAATATTGTTTGATAATGTTTTTTGCTAATGATTCAACTTGCAACTGAATGGAAACTAATTGCTGTCTGGAAAAGATTTGTAAAAGAGTATTTAAAGCTAACAAAGAACAAGATCTCCTTTTGAAACTTAGGTGCGATTCTTTTTGGAGTTGAAGGCAGAAAATGACATTGGGGACAGCTTTATTTTTCAGTGCTTAAGATTTTCTAGTGCAGTTCTGGTGCTGTCTGTAAAAACAAACTTTTCAGGAATATGTGAGCTTAGCTTTTTAGGGTGTTGTGTTGGTGTGAATTCTGCATTCAACAGTTCTTCCATTAGTGAAAGTAAGGGTCATGTTCAATGCATAATGGAATCCAATGCAGTGCAAGGATCTTTCATTCAGCAGCAGGTAACAGTACACATAGGAGAGCTTTCAGACACGTTTGGAGATAAGATTCATTGTCTTACTTGCTTAACAAAGTCTTTGGTTCCTTGTGTGTCCTGTTTTAAAATAGCTATTATGCACAGTGAAGGTTTTCTTTAATACACTGCTATTACTGCAGTTCCAACAGCTGGTTTTACCACCAGCAGTTCATGGAAGAGTCAAAGTAGTTTCCAAATATCGGAACTGTATCTTTCATTTGAAGAAAACAGTGGCCCCAGACCCTCTGTATGGTTTTCTTTTTCAATGTGGAACATTAATGTTTGTATGTGCTGTGTCCTACTATCTTAAGAAGTTAACACTTACAGATTTTATTATTTATTGGTTTTTTAATTGCAAGTGTCCTGCACTGCTTTCTCAGCAGCTCAACTCCTTTATGGGAATGGGAGACCTGACAAGGTGATTAGGAAGTGGTAGTGTTAAAAGTATAGTGCAGTCTAACCTTAAAAGCACTTACCAGCTAAGCTTGTTCTGAAGAAAGACACTGGGCAGTAAAAATGGAAACTTGTCTATACCTGTATATCTGCTATTATTGCTACTAATGATTTTGCACAATCATTAGTGCAGAGATGGGGAATTTCTAGAACAGAACCAATATAAAGGCAGAATATTGGTTACTAGAATAAGCAATATTTCTAGAAGTCAAGTCACATGTTCAACAAGATCCCACATGATACCATTATTAAATATCTAATGTCACAGAACATAAAAATAATAATTTTTTCTGTTATCACTTGTCTGAAGCATATTTAAACTGAAAATGCTTCATTCTGAGAGTACTGTCTGTTCAAATCTCTGTTCTTGATTAGTTCTTAGCCTACAGATGCAGTCACCTTGTTGGAGTTGTTCTTAATTCATTTACCTTGGAGCTTAAAATGCTGTAACAAATTATATTAGAGTAAACTGTTGCAAATAGCTGGGTATATACTTCAGCTATAACCCATAATGCAACTATAGCTCTCTCATTTTCAATAACTTAATATCATTTGTAGTGAAAACATCCACTTTGTATACAACTCAGCATCTAAATGTTAGCCTTTATTTCTGCCATATAAAGCCTGATCTGATTAATTGATGAATGTTGCTGAGACAGGCAGAAGCACAGGACCAGCACTGAAGTCAGCTGACTTGTTCAGGCCCATTGTAGCTGTTCATCTGCAGTACTTCAGACTGCTGTGGCCAGTGGGTAGTAAGTTAATTAATAAATAAAAACAAATACTGAAGGGTTTTAAGACATACATCTTAGGGAAGTGGTTCTTCCTTTAAACAAAGCTCCACTTTGTTTTCTTTCCCATGCTTCTCTGAGATACAAGCTATGATGTGATAGATCCCAGTTTGCTGCTGCTTTAAGAGAGACCATGCTAGTCAGAGGAGAATTTTTTTTTTTTATGTAGGAGCAAATCCTTCAGGTTGCTTCTCATTAACTTATAGAAGACAATGTTGTTTTAACAGTATAGCTGTAACATGCTTTCACAATTAATGGGATGTTTTTCTTTGGAAATTTTTATTAGGGCATTTTTTAATGCAGATAGTAACTCAGTTTTATGAAACTAATTTGGCCTGTGTAGTTTGCCATCTTGCTCTGAAGGGATCTTTTTTCAGGAAAGACAGACTGTTTAATTAACTAGTCCATATTATGCTCCGTGTACAATCCCTTAAGTTAGAATGGTGCTGTTTCTGATTCATTGGTAAGACAGATACCCCCAAAATACAGGAAGATACCAAGATCTTGCAAAAGCATGCTGGTTTTCAAAATCCGGGTCTCAAGAGTTTGGTGTAGGTGACTGCTTCTGACTTACTTGTGGCATTTAACAGTAGTTTGAATTTCAGCTGGAGCATCAGTTTGTTGTCACCAGTAACGGGTTACAAATAGCTGTGTACCATAATAACTGAAATGTGCTGGAGGTGGGCTTGGTGTCTATGTGGAATAATTTGTAGATTTTTTAGTGTTAGGTTAGTTACTCTTTTCTATTTACAGTTGCTTATTCAGGTGTTAGGATGTTTTCACCCCAAAGAATGGGTTCAGTACCTTTAAAAGCTATCTAGAAATGAAGGACCTTGACAAGTTCTCTCCATTATTAAGTTACCTTAGCAGAGGTGGAGGGGAGTCCAGCCACTTACTTGGAAACATTTTTCCATACTTTTGCCACAAAAAGGAGCTGCTAGACCGACTTCAGAAACGTTTGTGGCACAAAGTGGTGATCAATAAGGAAAGAGGGTGTAGCAACGAGTCTTTTACTATGTGGTGCTCCCATTTAAGATACTTGAGAGCCCCTGTTTAATGGACAATGCCTATAATGATACTATGATATACTGTTGTTTTATAGTTTTGTTGGAAGCTATTATGAAGAATGGAAGTGCTGCTGGAGGAGGCGCTTACAGCCGAAAACCAGCCAGTAGCAATGATCAAAGTAAGTCCAGTAGCACGAAGGAGAGCAATGCATCTGCTGCAGGTGAAAGTGGAAAAGGCTACACCAAAGACCAAATGGAAGGAGTATTCAGGTATGGCCTTGCCTAAATACATCATCACTGTTTTTCATTCTGTGTATTATCTACTTACGCTTTCAGCTCTAGCATCTAAAGAAGCAACAGAAAATTCAAGGTTAGCTGAGAGGGTTACTTGTACTGAACTGTAACTGAAAGGAAGAGGAGAGTTTTGTTGTGTTTAAACATGGTATGTGACGTTGTCACTTTCTGCAAGAAATATGATACTCGTCTTTATTGATGGTCTAAAAATAAAATAGAATAGTTATTAAGTAGATTGCGTGTAAAATGGAAGAAGTTATGACAATTCTGTAGTATAACTTGAAGAACAGTGTTTCTATTCTGAAATATTTTTATTCATGATATCTAAGTTTACATTATGTGCTGACTCCTGAAGTTGATTTTCAAGCTAATTTTGCTGTATAGGCTGGTTTTAGTCTACTAAACTACTAAACTACTTCATTCTGTAAGTACAAGTATCTGAGAAGCACTGAAGCGCATAGTCTTAAGTTGTGTTATAAATTCCATCTGGACTTTCTGTGGCAAGATAGTATTCAGATGGGGAACATCCAGAAAGGAAGATGTGTGAAAAGAAACAAAGAAAATCTAAAGAAAATCTAAAAAGTCCTTTTGAGGCAAGTAACTCTTAAGTGATGTTTTTATTACGCACTTTGTAGCTGGACGAGTAAGAAAGAAAAATACTGGGGTTTATGTGCCCTGATTTCTGCTAAAGAAATATGGATGCAGCCACTCTAAAACTGCACACCTCAAAAAACAGCTGTATTTTTACGTAAGCCTAGACCAGATATTTTCAAGGGAGCTCAAAGAAAGGAAATTGAGAGGTCAGTGTCTCCTAGATTGTGAAGATTGGAGGAGCTGTTGTGCAGAATGGAAATTTGTGTGTGAATTTCTGTGCAAATGTCGGATGCTGTTGATATTATCTTGGGATCTTTTCTTGAAATTCAGTAATCTGTTAGTTATGCTAACAGTGAAGAAAAAGCTTTTCTTGATATAGCAGTTCTGCATTCAAGCAGGTTTACAGCAGCATCTCTGGCATGGTTATTCTCCTGGTGTTGCTATTTTATAGAGCTTTTCATTTATCATAATCTCTGCTTAATTAATGATGTTGGCCTTCATGTTACATCTAAAGTAAAATCTGAATAAGCATGTACATTTTTGGCCACCTTGAAATATTAGCTGTTAAAAGAAATGCAAGATGCATGGTCACATGTGTGAGACAAAATATCCAGAAATAAGTCCTGTGTAAAATGAGGCTTAGATGAAATGAAGACATGTAACAAATTTTCAAAAAGCTGCTACAGGGAAAGCTGTATTACTGCCAGTATTCACTCACCCGTGACGTGCCATTCTGAGCTGCATTCTGCTTTGACATCAGGCTCCGTGCAATTTTTGTTTGTTTTACCAGAAACTAATGTTGACTACTTTTTCTTGACCAAATGATGATGTGCAGTCAACTTTTCTCCATGGTGTGTTTTGATTATTGCTACCTTGAAGGGATTTATTAGATACCTGATAAAATTAATCCAATTTGTTGTGATCAGAACCAAAATTAGGGATAGTCATGGAGTTTGCACATTGAGAGTAATCTTGATGCAACACTGCTTCTTAGTACCTAGTTCAACAATCTGCTTTGTGAGTATAAAATTTGGGTTTTTTGAAAAGTACCCAGATTTTTGCAAATAAACTGTTTTAATAGTTTGCAGTAGAATCTGTATTTGTTTGTATTTTACATAGTACTTAGAAAATCAGCTGTTAATATCTTGACTTTAGCTTGAGTGATAGTCCAATCCTTTAGTATAGTAGTTTATAAAACTTTGGAGAGAGCTTGGGTTTTTATTTAGATGTGCAGTAATTAACAGAGCAAGTCCACAGTTCTTATTAGAAGTTTTGAAAAGTTTGTCAGTTGTGACATATACATGCTACTTAGAAAATTTGTGGTTAAGCATTAAAAAATGAGTGACTTGCCAAGGAGAACAGGATTAAATACAAACAGTAGGCTAAAACTTAATGGAAAAGCATAATACATCCAGTGATGATAGCTGAGGGAAAGTTCATGTTTAAACCACAGTGAGAATGAGCTTTCTAGCTGGAAACATGACAGGCTGCATATGTTACTGCTTCAGTCAGGCCTCAGACTTTTCCAATTAAATGAAGCACGCCCCTCTGGGGAGGGTGTTCTTGAGAGAGTAGAGCTTGTCACCACCATCTGCTTCTGCCATACCACAGTGGAATTTTTTTTGGACATTTGAATTGGCTAAAGAAATGCTGTGAGAAAGAGGTGGATTTAAATAGTCTTTCATGCCAGA